TTCTTGATTCAAACAATTATTACCTCATGTTGTTTGCGGTCTGAGCAGAGACATCTCCTTCCCTCTCCACAGGCTCCTCCTCCAGCTCATCCGGGGCAATCCTGAGGCGTTCCCAGCACAGAGACACATTCCCTCTGGGTCCGACCCTCAGCAGCACAATATTTATAAGTACATGTTTGTCCCATGCTTTAAAGGTCCATTATCGTTCTCAAGAAGGAAACATCTGTTCTCAAACGGTACAAAATATACAGGTACAACATTTTACCCCAGGGACAAGCCGCTGGACCCTCAAAGGTAGCCCCTTAAAGGTGGACCCTCAAAGGTGGACCCTCAAAGGTGGACCCTCAAAGGTAGCCCCTTAAAGGTGGACCCTCAAAGGTGGACCCTCAAAGGTGGACCCTTAAAGGTGGACCCTCAAAGGTGGACCCTCAAAGGTGGACCCTTAAAGGTGGACCCTCAAAGGTTGACCCTCAAAGGTGGACCCTTAAAGGTGGACCCTCAAAGGTGGACCCTCAAAGGTAGCCCCTTAAAGGTGGACCCTCAAAGGTGGACCCTCAAAGGTGGACCCTTAAAGGTGGACCCTCAAAGGTGGACCCTCAAAGGTGGACCCTTAAAGGTGGACCCTCAAAGGTTGACCCTCAAAGGTGGACCCTTAAAGGTGGACCCTCAAAGGTGGACCCTTAAAGGTTGACCCTCAAAGGTAGCCCCTTAAAGGTGGACCCTCAAAGGTTGACCCTCAAAGGTGGACCCTCAAAGGTGGACCCTTAAAGGTGGACCCTCAAAGGTTGACCCTCAAAGGTAGCCCCTTAAAGGTGGACCCTCAAAGGTGGACCCTCAAAGGTAGCCCCTTAAAGGTGGACCCTCAAAGGTGGACCCTCAAAGGTGGACCCTTAAAGGTGGACCCTCAAAGGTTGACCCTCAAAGGTGGACCCTTAAAGGTGGACCCTTAAAGGTGGACCCTCAAAGGTGGACCCTTAAAGGTGGACCCTTAAAGGTGGACCCTTAAAGGTGGAGAAATGACAAAATGACTCACAAAAGATAATTATTATGAGTCTTTTGTGAAGAAATTGATACAGAAATAATTTCTCTCTAACCACTAATTTTAATGATAATAAAACATGTAATTTTCCATTTGCCAAACCTGCTTTTAGGACTTTAAAGGTTCAATCAAGATTAACATTGTTTTATAAGAGGAAGAGGAGGAGGAGGAGGAGGAGCAGGAGGAGCAGGAGGAAGAGGAGGAGGAGGAGGGGGAGGAGGAGAGAGGAGGAAGAGGAGGAGGGGGAGGAGGAAGAAGAGGAGGGGGAGGAGAGAGGAAGAGGAGGAGAGGAGGAAGAGGAGGAGGAGGAGAGAGGAGGAAGCGGAGAGAGGAGGAGGAGGGGGAGGAGAGAGGAGGAGGAAGAAGATGAGGAGGGGGAAGAGAGAGAGGAAGAGGAGGAGGAGGAAAAGGAGGATGAGGAGAGAGGAAGAGGTGGAGGAGATAGGAGGAGGAGAAAGAAGAGGAGGATGGGGAGGAGGAAGAAGAAGAGGAAGAGGAGGAGGAAGCAGAGGAGGAGGAGGAGGAGTAGAAGGAAGAGGAGGAGGGGAGGAGGAGGAGGAGGAGGAGGAGTAGGAGGAAGAAGAAGAGGAAGAGGAGGAGAGAGGTGGAAGAGGAGGATGAAGAGGAGGAAGGAGGGGGAGGAGAGAGGAAGAGGAGGAGGAGGAGAGAGGAGGAGGAAGAAGAGGAGGAGGGGGAGGAGAGAGGAGGAAGTGGAGAGAGGAGGAGGAGGGGGAGGAGGAAGAAGATGAGGAGGGGGAAGAGGAAAGAGGAGGATGATGAAAAGGAGGATGAGGAGAGAGGAAGAGGTGGAGGAGTAGGAGGAAGAAGAGGAGGAGGAGGAGGAAGAGGAAAGAGGAGGGGGAGGAGAGAGGAGGAGGAAGAAGAGGAGTAGGAGGAAGAGGAGGATGAAGAGGAGAAGGAAGGAAGAGAAGAGGGGAGGAAGAGGGGGAGGAAGAGGAGGAGGAAGAGGAGGAGGAGGAGGAGGGGGAGGAGAGAGGACGAGGAGGAAGAAGTGGAGGAGGGGGAAGAGAGAGAGGAAGAGGCGGAGAAGGAAAAGGAGGATGAGGAGAGAGGAAGAGGTGGAGGAGATAGGAGGAGGAGGAAGAGGAGGGGGAGGAGCAGGAGGAAGAAGAAGAGGAGGAGCAGGATGAGGAAGAGAAGGAGGGGGAGGAGAGAGGAGGATGAAGAGGAGGAGTAGGAGGAAGAAGAGTAGTAGGGGGAGGAGGAGGAGGAGCAGGAGAAGGAGGAAGAGGAGGAGGCGCAGGATGAGGAAGAGGAGAAGGAGGGGAGGAGGAGGAGGAGAAAGGAGGAAGAGGAGGAGGAGAGAGAGGAGGAGAGAGGAAGAGGAGGAGGAGGAAAGGAGGATGAGGAGAGAGGAAGAGGTGGAGGAGGGGGAAGAGGGGGAGGAGGAGCAGGAGAGAGGAAGAGGAGGATGAGGGGGAGGAGGAGCAGGAGAGAGGAAGAGGAGGAGGAGGAAGAGGAGGAGGAGGGGGAAGAGGAGGAGGAGCAGGAGAGAGGAAGAGGAGGAGGAGGGGGAAGAGGGGGGAGGAGGAGCAGGAGAGAGGAAGAGGAGGATGAGGGTGAGGAGGAGCAGGAGAGAGGAAGAGGAGGAGGAGCAGGAGAGAGGAAGAGGAGGGGGAGAGAGGAAGAGGAGGAGGAGGGGGGGAAGAGGAGGAGGAGGGGAGGAGGAGCAGGAGAGAGGAAGAGGAGGAGGAGGGGGAGGAGGAGCAGGAGAGAGGAAGAGGAGGAGGGGGGGGGAAGAGGAGGAGGAGGGGGGGAGGAGGAGCAGGAGAGAGGAAGAGGAGGAGGGGGAAGAGGAGGAGGAGGGGGAGGAGGAGCAGGAGAGAGGAAGAGGAGGAGGGGGAAGAGGAGGAGGAGGGGGAGGAGGAGCAGGAGAGAGGAAGAGGAGGAGGAGGAGGAGGAGCAGGAGAGAGGAAGAGGAGGAGGAGGGGGAGGAGGAGCAGGAGAGAGGAAGAGGAGGAGGAGTTTATTATATTTACAGATTATCCTTGTTCCCTGAGACAGACTTTTTTCAGCACGTTCTTTCTCAGCCTCGTGAATGAACTGAGCTACACAGATAAACTTGCCGTAGATATTTATCCAGAGCGGAGCAGGTGGAAATGAGGAGGAGGTGCCACATTATCGACTCATTTTCACTTAATAACACACTGCGGGGAAAAGAAACCAATTTAAAAGTCGGAAATAATAAGTGTGAAAGAAGAAGAACCTTCACGGAAATCATCTGCACACATGTCATTTAGTCAGAGTGAGGAAGAAGAAGCTCTGAATGTTCAGATATATTTATTCCACTCGGCGACAACGGAGAGATGCGGCAGCTGCGGCCGGGTTTGAACGGAGGGAGGAGGAGGAGGAGAGAGGAAGAGGAGGAGAGAGGAAGAGGAGGAGGAGGAAGAGGAGGAGGAGAGAGGAAGAGGAGGTGGAGATAGGAGTAGGAGGAAGACTTAGCGACAACAGAGAGATTGGGCAGCTACGGCGGGGTTTGAACGGAGGAAGGAGGAGGAGGAAGAGGAGGAGGAGGAGGAAGAGGAGGAGGAGGAGGAGGAAAAGGAGGAGGAGGAAGAGGAGGAGGAGGGGGTTTTGAACGGAAATGAATGAGGAGACAGAATACAACCCTATTCACACGAGCAGGTAAAAGCCAGATCCTGTCCTGACCTCTGAAGCTAAGCAGAGCAGGGCCTAGTTAGTACGGCGATGGGAGACTTCAAGGAACACCAGGTGCTACATTGGGGCAGCTGCGGCTGTAAAATGCCAAGGACACAACCACAGTTTACCGTGATTATTTTACTATTGCATTCTCCGACAAACTACAACCAGCAAATTCAGACAAACTCTTGACGTCACCGACACCGACCTACAACACCCGCCTCCCCCGCTCTCTGATTGGTCGGAGCGGATTCAACCGAGGAAACTGCAGCCACTAGGATCAGACCCAGACGTACATGTAGGAAATTATCATGGACCAGAGTTTACACATGGTAAGACCAGACGTACATGTAGGAAATGACCATGGACCAGAGTTTACACATGGTAAGACCAGACGTACATGTAGGAAATGATCATGGACCAGAGTTTAAACACATGGTAAGACCAGACGTACCTGTAGGAAATGATCATGGACCAGAGTTTACACATGGTAAGACCAGACGTACATGTAGGAAATGATCATGGACCAAGTTTACACATGGTAAGACCAGACGTACATGTAGGAAATGACTCATGGACCAGAGTTTACACATGGTAAGACCAGACGAACATGTAGGAAATGAACCATGGACCAGAGTTTACACATGGTAAGACCAGACGTACATGTAGGAAATTACCATGGACCAGAGTTTACACATGGTAAGACCAGACGTACATGTAGGAAATGACCATGGACCAGAGTTTACACATGGTAAGACCAGACGTACATGTAGGAAATGAACCATGGACCAGAGTTTACACATGGTAAGATCAGACGTACATGTAGGAAATGATCATGGACCAGAGTTTACACATGGTAAGACCAGACGTACATGTAGGAGATGATCATGGACCAGAGTTCACACATGGTATGACCCAGACGTACATGTAGAAGATGATCATGGACCAGAGTTTACACATGGTAAGACCAGACGTACATGTAGGAAATGATCATGGACCAGAGTTTACACATGGTAAGACCAGACGTACATGTAGGAAATGACCATGGACCAGAGTTTACACATGGTAAGACCAGACGTACATGTAGGAAATGATCATGGACCAGAGTTTACACATGGTAAGACCAGACGTACATGTAGGAGATGATAATGGACCAGAGGTTACACATGGTATGACCAGGATAGTCCAATCGAATTCTGTTGTGTGTATTTCATATTTTGTGGGCCTTGGAAAACCATCAAAAGCAGCTGACAGTTCGGGAGCTGCTCTGAAATCGTTGGCTGTGAATGAGCCAGAGTCAGATTTGGACCCGTCTGAGACTTTTCCGGGGGCCTCTCCATCCTCTGAGATCCGTGCCTTGGCTCCCGGGGGCCTCTCCATCCTCTGAGATCCGTGCCTTGGCTCCCGGGGGCCGGACTCCTGCTCGCTCGGTTGGTTTGGTGTTGGGCTCGTGCCTCTGAATCCCTCGTACCTGTTTATCCCAGCAGCAGATTAGACCATGTTTGCCCCACAGATTACCAGGTGCTTTTCTCCACCGCACCGTCCGTGTTTAATTCCAATCCTAATCCGAGAGAAACCGGACCAAGCGCTTCTGTGAGCTTGTACCGTACGTCATGGAATACTAATCTCTTTCTCAAAGCAGCATTCAGATCGGATTCTGTTTATTTGCCGTTCGCAGCAAAAACGCAGTAGAGAAATAATGGTAATAATGATAATAATGATAATAATAATAATAATAATAATAATAATAATAATAATACATCAGATTTATTCTTCCACTACTGTAGCCACAGCTGCCCTAGGGCACACTGTTGTAGTTCTTGATTACACATTAAATATAGTGAAGATACATAACGATTCTTAACCTGGATTTGAAAATTGTCAGAGAAGAAGTCTGTCTCTGCTCCAGATTTTAGCAGCATGAATCTGAATTGGTGCCTCCTCATGTACAGTTCTGAGTCCCAGCAGGAGGCCAGTCCCTGTGCTCCTTAGAGTCCCAGCAGGAGGCCAGTCTCTGTGCTCCTCAGAGTCCCAGCAGGAGGCCAGTCCCTGTGCTCCTCAGAGTCCCAGCAGGAGGCCAGTCCCTGTGCTCCTCAGAGTCCCAGCAGGAGGCCAGTCCCTGTGCTCCTCAGAGTCCCAGCAGGAGGCCAGTCCCTGTGCTCCTTAGAGTCCCAGCAGGAGGCCAGTCCCTGTGCTCCTTAGAGTCCCAGCACGAGGCCCGTCCCTGCGAGTCCATAGAGAGACTTGTAACAAACAGAGCTGCTTTAAAGTCTATTCTCTGAGCCAGTGCAGAGACCTGGGACCTGGACCTGGACTTGAACCCACCAGATCCACCAGGAGGCGCTACAGATCACAGTCAGGAGCTTCACTCCCTCTGCCTTAAAGACAGTCGATAAAACCTCTGACCAATTACATTTCACACCGACTCAGACGACTTATTGTTCTCGTACGTTTGTCTAAAAGCCGAGTGTGCAGCTTAAGCATTCAGCTTGTTGTCATGTGTGTGTGTGTGTGTGTGTGTGTTTATCTAAGTGCAGAGCAGGTGGGGTGAATCAATGGGCTTGTTATTATGTGCTCCAGACATATGGCTCATTAAACGCAATTGACTCAACACACATTAAATGCCATCGGAGCGAATAGACAGAAAAGTACACATTGTCAAACCTTAAATTATGGAAATAGAAATTTGCATTGCACTCTCTACGTGTTTTGACAGCACTTAATCACACCATTAGGTTCTTCCATTTGTGCAGAGCCGAGCCCGGAATGTCACTGGAAAAACAAGCAAAGAAAACAACGGATTTCACGACCGCAAATAAACAAAGTGGAAAGAAAGAACAATTAAAACGTTTTATACAAAATTAGCAAAGTTGCAAAAGTATTCAGACATATGTTTGTGTACGCTCTCAGTATTATCCAGAACAAAGGGAGGTTTCTCACCCGTCATATGTTTTTCAGTTTGCGGGTTTTCCAACGTGAAATGAAAGCTTTGCCACATTTTGTTTTTAGGACGTCGTCAGAGATGGAACGCAAAACACATCAGGTTAAGGCGGGTTGAGATTAGCTTTGCCTCGAATCTATGATGACGTACTTAAAACAACGGCCAGCTATAGATCCAAAAGGGGAAAGGTCAGTGACATACAAATGAGTTAGGATCGTTAGACCTAGAATGATCATTAGACCTCCACACCACCAGAGTAATCTCCTCAGACAATAGTGATATGTTTATGAGGTAGGATCGTTAGGCTTAGCGGGATTGTTAGACATAGCATGATCGTTAGACCTAGCATGATCGTCAGACCTGCACCCCACCTGAGTAATATCCTCAGAGAATAGTGATATGTTTATGAGGTAGGATTGTTAGGCCTAGCGGGATCGTTAGACCTAGCATGATCGTTAGACCTAGCATGATCGTCAGACCTGCACCCCACCTGAGTAATATCCTCAAAGAATAGTGATATGTTTATGAGGTAGGATTGTTAGGCCTAGCGGGATCGTTAGACCTAGCATGATCGTTAGACCTAGCATGATCGTCAGACATGCACCCCACCCGAGTAATCTCAGCAGACAATAGTGACATGTTGATGAGGTAGGATTGTTAGGCCTAGCGGGACCGTTAGACCTAGCATGATCAATAGACCTACACCCAACAGCAGCAATCCTAGAAGGCTTTAGGTGTGTTAATGAGTTAGCCTCAGGAACGGGGGCTAGCCAACCACTCCCACTGGTCATAATCCTCGTGGCTGAGCTTTGATTTCCTTGAGAAAGTTCTTTGGATTAAGAACCTGCTGAAGCACATATGATGGGTGAGCTACATTCTTGTGTTTTTTTATTCAGGTATATGGAAAAACTACGTCTGGGTTTTCTCTCCGAAAAAAAGTTGCTGGGTCATGTAGGTGTCGACGTCGACTGTATTGGGCCGTTCCATTGTAAGAAATGAAATTATATTTTTGGGTAAATTGTCTCGATTGTAGGAAAATCTCCGCTCCAGCTTTTCTTCCAATATTGTTTTTTTCTTCCATCCACCTGAACCTCTTCCCTGCTCCTGCTGAAGAAAAGCAGCCCCACAGGTGTAACAGTGGGGATGGAGCATGTTCTCCCTGTGTCTGTGTAGGTTTTCTCCAGGTGCTCCAGGTTTCCCTATACCACTACAAACGTGTACAATAGATGAGGGTATAATCTGGTGCATTCACAGCTCCATCCAAATAATAATGATGAATAAAAGAAATATCTCTATGTGCAGTTTGTTCCAATGATAAGGAGTGCTCAACCAACACACACACACACACACAAACACAGATATACATATAATACACACACACACACATATACATATAATACACACACACACACACACACAGATATACATATAATACACACACACACAAACACAGATATACATATAATACACACACACACAAACACAGATATACATATAATACACACACACACACAGATATACATATAATACACACACACACACACACAGATATACATATAATACACACACACACACACAGATATACATATAATACACACACACACACACACACACACAGATATACATATAATACACACACACACACACACACAGATATACATATAATACACACACACACACACACAGATATACATATAATACACACACACACACACACACAGATATACATATAATACACACACACACACACACAGATATACATATAATACACACACACACACACACAGATATACATATAATACACACACACACACACACACACAGATATACATATAATACACACACACACATATATACATATAATACACACACACACACACACACACACACACAGATATACATATAATACACACACACACACACACACAGATATACATATAATACACACACACACACACACAGATATACATATAATACACACACACACACACACACACAGATATACATATAATACACACACACACACACACAGATATACATATAATACACACACACACACACACACACAGATATACATATAATACACACACACACACACACACAGATATACATATAATACACACACACACACACACAGATATACATATAATACACACACACACACACACACAGATATACATATAATACACACACACACACACACACAGATATACATATAATACACACACACACACACACAGATATACATATAATACACACACACACACACACACAGATATACATATAATACACACACACACATATATACATATAATACACACACACACACATAAGACACACACACACACACACATAAGACACACAAACACACACACACACACAGACTTGACAGCACGTAGCACTTTAACAACTTCCCTTCGTCTCTTCGGCCTCAGCACTTTCTTCACTTAAACATGAATCAAACAACATCAGTTTGTACCGAAGCCTCTGAAGGTCACGACACTCGGGAGGAAAACCTGTCCAATCCATAACACTTCCTCTGTGGTTGCCAGGCGAGCACTAGGATGCCAGTAATCCGGAAAACTTTCAGTAAGTACGGTCCATTTTTCCGATATTAGGAAAGAGAGCGACCGCCGCAGAAAGCACTTAAGCCTCTTCCTTTCCTCAGGTTTCGGAAGCATCGAGTCATAAAGTCCTGTTTTACCTTCGCCACAGTGAGAGCAGAGGCAAAAACACACATTCTGTCAAATAAGACGATACAGTGAGAGCTGGAATATTCACTGTTGGAATGTGGAAGCCATTTTGGACTGGAAAAAATCTCTTGAAACAAAAAACGGGAGAAAAATACATGAAAAAAATAAGTAAAAGACTGCTTAAAATAATCTGAAAATATGACTTCAGATTTTTGAAAATAATAAAATAATATTAGCCCCAAATGACTTGATTCTAGAATAAAAACGTACATTTCAAGTATATTTTATGAAGTTCTTAAAGTTTTCTTAAAGTTCGGAAAATAATCTTGTGACAAACTACATTGAAGCAAAACAACATTGAGAGACCAGAGAGAGACCAGAGAGACTACAGAGACCAGAGAGAGACCAGAGAGAGACCAGAGAGACTACAGAGACCAGAGAGAGACCAGAGAGAGACCAGAGAGACTACAGAGACCAGAGAGAGACCAGAGAGAGACTAGAGAGAGACCAGAGAGAGACCAGAGAGAGACCAGAGAGACTACAGAGACCAGAGAGAGACCAGAGAGAGACTAGAGAGAGACCAGAGAGAGACCAGAGAGAGACTAGAGAGAGACCAGAGAGAGACCAGAGAGAGACTAGAGAGAGACCAGAGAGAGACTAGATTGTGACCAGAGAGACTAGAGAGACCAGAGAGAGACTAGATTGTGACCAGAGAGACTAGAGAGACCAGAGATAGACCAGAGAGACTACAGAGACCAGAGAGAGACCAGAGAGACTACAGAGACCAGAGAGAGACCAGAGAGACTACAGAGACCAGATAGAGACCAGAGAGACTACAGAGACCAGATAGAGACCAGCGAGAGATCAGAGAGAGACCAGAGACCAGAGAGACACCAGAGAGCTAGATCAGAGACCAGAGAGATTATAGAGAGAGACTAGAGAGAGGCCAGAGAGAGACCAAAGAGACTAGATTGTGACCAGAGAGGGACTAGAGAGACCAGAGATAGACCAGAGAGACCAGAAAGAGACCAGAGAGACCAGAGAGAGACCAAAGAGAGACTAGAGACCAGAAAGAGACCAGAGAGAGGGACCAGAGAGAGACCAGAGAGACTAGAGAGACCAAAGAGAGACTAGAGAGAGACCAGAGAGATTACCTTTTTAGTGCTTTTCTTATTTGAATTGAACATTCTTCTATATTGTCCTTAGGCAAGACACTTCCCCCACATTAGAATGAGTCTGGTGTGTGTGTGAATGGTTGGTGGTGGTGGGAGGGGCCGATGGCACAGACTGGTTGCCTCGCTCCTGTCAGTGTGCCCCAGGGTAGCTGTGGCTATATTAGTCGTTAATCACCACCTTGTAAAGAGTGAAAGAATAATGACATATGAGGAGACTTTGAGAGTCCAGAAAACCGCTGTGTAAAACCAATACATTATTATTGTTATTATGATTTTGAGGCTAGACTTTGCAGAGCCACGATCCAGAGCCGTAGACCATGAAAGAATTGACAGCTCTGTGTGAATGTGACGTTTTAAAACCTCTCTCCGGTGACGATGACAGCAGCAGGGACCGAGAACACTGCGTTTCCCTGGATTTCAATCTCCACCCCGGCTTTCCGTCTCCAAACCTCTCTGCAGATCACCTCCTAACAGACAAACTCATTTCTCTCTGAACCAAAAGTCTACGATCAAAACAAAACAAAGCCGTGTGTGTGTCGTATCAAAATGTTTTTATAGATTTATGCCAAAGCCCCCTCAGCTCTTCTTAATCCTGGTTCAGTTCTGGTGCAGCAGTCCTGGTTCAGAGCAGTACTGGGACCAGATGTTAAAAACAAAGAAGCTGAGAGACATTTTGTTTTATTGTGGATAATATTAAATGACTCGTACATGTGTGTGTGTGATCAGGTTCATTATTCTACACGTTGTCCTAATTCTACTGCAATGTCTATGTTTTCCACAGTATACAGACGGATTCAGTTTATTTGCCATTTGCAGTAAAACCACATTGGAGTACACGTGCGAGAGTCCCCAGTGTGCAGCATACAAGTACATAAATAAATAAATAAACAGATTAAACAATTGTCACCATTAAATTGGAACATGGCTTTTTTCCAGGGGCCACAAGAGTCAGTGATTGTTCTGAGCTTTCTGGTATCTCTCTCTGGTCTCTGTCTGGTCTCTCTCTCTGGTCTCTTTCTGGTATCTCTTTCTCTGGTCTATCTCTGGTATCTCTTTCTGGTCTCTCTCTGGTCTTTCTCCGGTCTCTCACTGGTTTATTTCTGGTCTTTCTCTCTGGTCTCTCTCTCTCTGGTCTCTCTCTGGTCTTTCTCTCTGGTCTCTCTCTGGTCTTTCTCTCTGGTCTCTCTCTGGTCTCTCTCTCTGGTCTCTCTCTGGTCTCTCTCTCTGGTCTCTCTCTCTGGTCTCTCTCTCTGGTCTTTCTCTCTGGTCTCTCTCTCTGGTCTCTCTCTCTGGTCTCTCTCTGGTCTCTCTCTCTGGTCTCTCTCTGGTCTCTATACAAGCTTCATACCTGAAGGAGTCAGTGTCTCAGATTGTCTTGTTTTCAAGGTAAACACAATGCATAGTTTTAGCAGATTAATCCATTTCTCTGTGTGGACTCTATTCCTCCGTCCAGTGCCAGTCTCGGTGTGAAGACCTGCTTTGATGATTTGATTGTTTACAAAGCCACTGGACCTTCTGCTGTTTCTGTTGTTGAGCAGAGAGAGAGAAACACTAACGGCACCAGGAGGGAGCGTGTAGCATGTATGACCCTTCCGGGCCCCTGAGCACCTCCGGCAGCAGACTCCTAACCATCCCCAAAGTCAGGACACACACTCACACAGACACACACACAGACACACACTCACGGCGAGGCATCTTTCCAGCACTACGGCCCCCGTCTCTGGAACAGTCTGAGGAGGAGCTCAGGGCCGCAGAGAACGTTCATATTTTTAAGAGTAGGCTCAAGACGCACCTTTTTAGAGTAGCTTTTGATTAGTATTTATTATTTATTATAGCTTTTTAGTACATCTTTTTATGTTTTTAGACACATTCTATTTTTATTTATTTTTTATTATTTACTATTTTTAATTATTTATTGTATCTACCCATTTACTATTGTTATTATCAATATTAGGCAGCTGCCATTTTTCTTTTTAGTGTCTCATTTTATTGTTCTACTTTCTATTGTATTATTGTATTGTTTTAGTGTCCCCAGTGTTTCCTCTGGAGGAGCCCTCTGCACTGAGAGCTGGGGTCTGCTGTGGCTTCGGGGGTCTGGCTCTTGGATCCGGTGGGGGTCTGGGGCCTCCTCTCTCCTCTGGGTCCTATGGGGTCTGAGTCCTGGGCCTGGTGGGGTCTGGGGCCCCTCTCTCCTCTGGGTCCTGTGTCGATCCCTGTGGCTGCAGCCGGCTCTCTGCTCCTGGTGCAGATGGCTCCTTGGATGGCGCTTCTTCAGCCGGTTACATCTGCTCCCAGCCCCATTTCTTTTTACTGTTTTACCTATTTTACCTGATATGACTTTATACTTGTATGTGTGTGTCTGTGTGTGTGTGTGTGTATGTGTGTGTGTTTGTATACGCATGTGGTTGTATATATAATTATAAATGTGGTTTTGGGGGGTCTGTGGGGAGGAGGGTTTAGGGCTGGGCATGTTGGATTGTTTTTAACCAAACTGTAAAGCACTTTGTGTTACACTTTTTGTATGAAAAGCGCTTTATGAATAAAATTTGATTGATTGATATATACACTCGATCCAGCAGGGGGCGCTAAAGAGGCTGCAAAATGTGCAAAAACAGAGATTACAAAAGATATCACAAATATGAGGAAAAAAGGAACCTATAGGTAAAGGGGCGACGGTGGCTCAGTTGGTAGAGCATTGGCCTTTGATCCTGAAGGTCGTGGGTTTGAGCCCACCACAAGACTTTCTCCACCAACTCCCACTGTCTGCTGTCGTTGTGTCCTTGGGCAAAACACTTCACCTCTGGGAACACCTGATGCCAAAGTGCCAAACTGTTGTGTCCTTAGGCAAGACACTTCACCCCCATTACCTAGAATGAGTCTGGTGTGTGTGTGAATGGTTGGTGGTGGTCGGAGGGGCCGATGGCACAGACTGGTTGCCTTCTGTCAGTGTGCCCCAGGGCAGCTGTGGCTACAGTAGTAGTTTATCACCACCGTGTTTGGAGTGAAATAATATTGACATGTGAATCACTTGTGGTTGGATAAATGAGAGTTCAGAGTGTTTAGGATTATCCTTGTTTTTAATTGGCGTTTGCACTGAAACACAAGAGAAACAACATCACCCATTCCTCGTCTGAGCACACTTTTCAATTAGGGCCTCCCAAGCCCCCCCAAGCTGCCTTAACCTGCCTGCGTGGGTCTCCTGAGTTTCTCCTGTCTGAAAAAATATGCCAACGTTCTTATACTTACACATGAAAATTAAACAAAAAATAGGAGGTGGGTGTTATTACAGCGTTATTGTTTATGTTAATTATCATGGGTCCCACATTAAGCGTCTTTGAGCGTCCAAAAAAGCGCTATATATAAAAAACATCCTACAACAAGTAATAAAACCAATAACTGCTCGGACAAAAAAAGCAAGATCCAAAATAAAGGGTGAGAATATGAAAGATAATTAATGGTAAGGTCTAAATGATGGACCAATGGCTAGTGTGTTTGTGATCGATGCATTTGCTGTTACGAACCGTTCCATTCTCTGGTCTGTTGTTGGTAAAGCCCTCCGATACGACTGCTGGTCTGTTGTTGGTAAAGCCCTCCGATACGACTGCTGGTCTGTTGTTGGTAAAGCCTACGATACGACTGCTGGTCTGTTGTTGGTAAAGCCTACGATACGACTGCTGGTCTGTTGTTGGTAAAGCCTACGATACGACTGCTGGTCTGTTGTTGGTAAATCTCCGATACGACTGCTGGTCTGTTGTTGGTAAAGCCCTCCGATACGACTGCTGGTCTGTTGTTGGTAAAGCCTCCGACACGACTGCTGGTCTGTTGTTGGTAAAGCCTCCGATACGACTGCTGGTCTGTTGTTGGTAAAGCCTCCGATACGACTGCTGGTCTGTTGTTGGTAAAGCCTCCGATACGACTGCTGGTCTGTTGTTGGTAAAGCCTACGATACGACTGCTGGTCTGTTGTTGGTAAAGCCTACGATACGACTGCTGGTCTGTTGTTGGTAAAGCCCTCCGATACGACTGCTGGTCTGTTGTTGGTAAAGCCTCCGATACGACTGCTGGTCTGTTGTTGGTAAAGCCTACGATACGACTGCTGGTCTGTTGTTGGTAAAGCCTACAATACGACTGCTGGTCTGTTGTTGGTAAATCTCCGATACGACTGCTGGTCTGTTGTTGGTAAAGCCTCCGACACGACTGCTGGTCTGTTGTTGGTAAAGCCTCCGATACGACTGCTGGTCTTTTGTTGGTAAAGCCTCCGATACGACTGCTGGTCTGTTGTTGGTAAAGCCTACGATACGACTGCTGGTCTGTTGTTGGTAAAGCCTACGATACGACTGCTGGTCTGTTGTTGGTAAAGCCCTCCGATACGACTGCTGGTCTGTTGTTGGTAAAGCCTCCGATACGACTGCTGGTCTGTTGTTGGTAAAGCCTACGATACGACTGCTGGTCTGTTGTTGGTAAAGCCTACAATACGACTGCTGGTCTGTTGTTGGTAAAGCCTACGATACGACTGCTGGTCTGTTGTTGGTAAAGCCCTCCGACACGACTGCTGGTCTGTTGTTGGTAAAGCCTCCGATACGACTGCTGGTCTGTTGTTGGTAAAGCCTACAATACGACTGCTGGTCTGTTGTTGGTAAAGCCTACGATACGACTGCTGGTCTGTTGTTGTGGTAAAGCCCTCCGACACGACTGCTGGTCTGTTGTTGGTAAAGCCTCCGATACGACTGCTGGTCTGTTGTTGGTAAAGCCCTCCGATACGACTGCTGGTCTGTTGTTGGTAAAGCCTACGATACGACTGCTGGTCTGTTGTTGGTAAAGCCCTCCGATACGACTGCTGGTCTGTTGTTGGTAAAGCCCTCCGATACGACTGCTGGTCTGTTGTTGGTAAACAACAGACAGCATGGAACACGACTGCTGGTCTGTTGTTGGTAAAGCCTCCGATACGACTGCTGGTCTGTTGTTGGTAAAGCCTCCGACACGACTGCTGGTCTGTTGTTGGTAAAGCCTCCGACACGACTGCTGGTCTGTTGTTGGTAAAGCCTCCGATACGACTGCTGGTCTGTTGTTGGTAAAGCCCTCCGATACGACTGCTGGTCTGTTGTTGGTAAAGCCCTCCGATACGACTGCTGGTCTGTTGTTGGTAAACAACAGACCAGCATGGAACACGACTGCTGGTCTGTTGTTGGTAAAGCCTCCGATACGACTGCTGGTCTGTTGTTGGTAAAGCCTCCGACACGACTGCTGGTCTGTTGTTGGTAAAGCCTCCGATACGACTGCTGGTCTGTTGTTGGTAAATCTCCGATACGACTGCTGGTCTGTTGTTGGTAAATCTCCGATACGACTGCTGGTCTGTTGTTGGTAAATCTCCGATACGACTGCTGGTCTGTTGTTGGTAAAGCCTACGATACGACTGCTGGTCTGTTGTTGGTAAAGCCTACAATACGACTGCTGGTCTGTTGTTGGTAAAGCCTACGATACGACTGCTGGTCTGTTGTTGGTAAAGCCCTCCGATACGACTGCTGGTCTGTTGTTGGTAAAGCCTCCGATACGACTGCTGGTCTGTTGTTGGTAAAGCCTACAATACGACTGCTGGTCTGTTGTTGGTAAATCTCCGATACGACTGCTGGTCTGTTGTTGGTAAAGCCTCCGACACGACTGCTGGTCTGTTGTTGGTAAAGCCTCCGATACGACTGCTGGTCTGTTGTTGGTAAAGCCTCCGATACGACTGCTGGTCTGTTGTTGGTAAAGCCTCCGACACGACTGCTGGTCTGTTGTTGGTAAAGCCTCCGATACGACTGCTGGTCTGTTGTTGGTAAATCTCCGATACGACTGCTGGTCTGTTGTTGGTAAATCTCCGATACGACTGCTGGTCTGTTGTTGGTAAATCTCCGATACGACTGCTGGTCTGTTGTTGGTAAAGCCTCCGATACGACTGCTGGTCTGTTGTTGGTAAATCTCCGATACGACTGCTGGTCTGTTGTTGGTAAATCTCCGATACGACTGCTGGTCTGTTGTTGGTAAATCTCCGATACGACTGCTGGTCTGTTGTTGGTAAAGCCTCCGATACGACTGCTGGTCTGTTGTTGGTAAAGCCTCCGACACGACTGCTGGTCTGTTGTTGGTAAATCTCCGATACGACTGCTGGTCTGTTGTTGGTAAATCTCCGATACGACTGCTGGTCTGTTGTTGGTAAATCTCCGATACGACTGCTGGTCTGTTGTTGGTAAAGCCTCCGATACGACTGCACTTCTGCTTTAGGTCAACACAAAAACACATGGAACCAAATTGAATTTTCACGTCTTTTCAAAAACACACTCTTCCCATGGACTTGCTTTGGCGTCTGTCCCAGTCGCCGAAATGGAATCCCAGAACATGGACGCAGCCCATTGAGTCAATCCAAGCTCCTCGCCATACGTTCCCAAGAAAGCAATCTCCATGGAGATGAGCAGGAGGCGGCTCGCTCCCCCGGGACATGTTTTTCATTTTATCATACAGGAATACCAAAAAACCCTGCTCCACTGGCCACAATCCTTCACTCTCACCTTTTGATTAATCTGTCTAAAGCCTGTGCGTGTGCGTGTGCGTGTGCGTGTGCGTGTGTGTGTGTGTGTGTGTGTGTGTGTGTGTGTGTGTGTGTGTGTGCGCCATCTGCTGGTGGGGCTTCTGGAGATGTCACAAATGGTGGAGATGTTGGCAGAGAGAGAACAGAGAGAGACAAGAGAGAGAGACAAGAGAGAGAGAGACCAGAGAGGGACTAAAGAAAGAGACCAGAGAGACCGGATAGAGACTAGGAGACACCAAAGAGAGACTTGAGTGACAAAAGAAAGAGACCAGAGAGACAAACCAGAAAGACCTGAGAGAGACCAGAAAGAGACTAGAGAGACCTGAGAGAGACCAGAGAGAGACTAGAGAGAGACCTGAGAGAGACCAGATGGACCATGAGAGACAGAACTAACCCTAACCCATAAACCCTGCTCCACTGGCCACAATCCTTCACTCTCTCCTTCTGATGAATCTGTCTAAATCCTGTGCCGTGTGTGTGTGAGCGCCATCTGCTGGTGGTGCTTCCAGGAACAGCTTTGCCATTTGTAATTCCGCGGTGGAGACGTTGACAGCCGGCGCCCGGAGGTAAAATTGCGAGGCTGCCATGCGCCTCACGTAGCCCCTCGCTCGCCGCTGCTCTGTGGGGAGACAGTAATACCAAAATGCTTGGTGTGGATGTGTGTGCAAGGACAAACCGCTTTCTCTGGACTGGCTTTAGCCGCCGCACTGCTCAGGGACATCACAGCGAACGCATATAACCTGTGAAAACGGACAAAACATATAAGCCCGGTTACTAAGCAACATCTGCAGATTCTGAATTGATTATTTTTCTTGCCTTGAGCCTGGAATAAAAATCTCACATTTCCGTTTTCACTTTTATATTCGAGCACAGAGTTGTTTATGTAGAGATGGATCATTTTGGACGGACGTGATTCTCATGGATAATTGAGTTCAACAAATCGTCAGATAACAGAGAACGCATGTAACTCAATTCCATATGTTTGTGGACAGCCCTATATGACAAGGAGCTGTCGATTCGCCAACACAGATCAGAGAAGCAAATGTTCTGCAATGATCACAAACACATACAGCCCTCGGTTCAGAAGGGGCTGATACTGTACCTATGTCCATAAATGTTGATAAGTGTCTTGCATCAAAGAGTCACAACTGTAAAAACTCAGTGGGAGAAAGTGAGAAACCTCAAAGGCCCAGACTGAGGGAGGGATCCGCTCCCACAGACGGACCGGGTTTCCTCTGGGTGCTCCGGTTTTACCCCCGACCCCAAAACCAATGGTGTAGGTTTGGTTTCAGCTTTGGTCGGGACACACATTTATTTTTATTTATTTTCAAATATTCACATCCTGACCAGAGAGAGACTAAAGAGGGACTAGAGAGACACGAGAGAGACTAGAGAGAGACTAGAGAGATCAGAGAGAGACAAGAGAAAGACTAGAGAGAGACTAGAGAGAGACAAGAGAGAGACAAGAGAAAGACTAGAGAGAGACTAGAGAGAGACAAGAGAGAGACCAAAGAGAGAGACTAGAGAGAGACTAGAGAGACCAGAGAGAGACTAGAGAGAGACTAGAGAGATCAGAGAGAGACAAGAGAAAGACTAGAGAGAGACTAGAGAGAGACAAGAGAGAGACAAGAGAAAGACTAGAGAGAGACTAGAGAGAGACAAGAGAGAGAGACCAAAGAGAGAGACTAGAGAGAGACTAGAGAGACCAGAGAGAGACTAGAGAGAGACTAGAGAGATCAGAGAGAGACAAGAGAAAGACTAGAGAGAGACTAGAGAGAGACAAGAGAAAGACTAGAGAGAGACTAGAGAGAGACAAGAGAGAGACCAAAGAGAGAGACCAGAGAGAGACTAGAGAGAGACTAGAGAGACCAGAGAGAGACTAGAGAGAGACTAGAGAGATCAGAGAGAGACAAGAGAAAGACTAGAGAGAGACCAGAGAGAGACTAGAGAGAGACCAGAGAGAGACTAGAGAGAGACAAGAGAAAGACTAGAGAGAGACTAGAGAGAGACAAGAGAAAGACTAGAGAGAGACTAGAGAGAGACTAGAGAGAGACTAGAGACAGACTAGAGAGAGACCAAAGATAGACTAGAAAGAGACTAGAGAGAAACCAAAGAGAGACTAGAGAGAGACCAGGAATCTAACTCTGGCCGCAAAACTATTATGGCCCAGTCTGAACCACTGGACTATGAGTAATGCAAATACTGCATATCGGCAATAACATTTTATACACCCCTCATGAATAATTTTCTGGCGGAAACTTTTACTTTTCTGACATTTTACGACGCACAGAGAAAACAAATAACACGTGTCTTGACACTGGCCTCATGGCTTCACTGATCACTTTTGTCAGTCGGACTTTACGTTTAGAAGGTAAACAAAAGATGATAATTGTAGAATTTAGAACCTTTAGAACCATCCCCGTAGGGCAATTCATCCTCTGCATTTGACCCATCATGATGCTGCTAAGGCTTACGTCAGGAGCAGTGGTCGCCGTAGTAACAGCGCCCGGGAACCCATCTCCAGATGTTGATGCTCGGCTTGGTCAGAACCAGAGCTGGAGGATTTAACCTAGTGAGCATGTGTTTAGTGGTAGGGGAAACTGGAGTACTTGGAGGAAACCCACGCAGGCACGGCGAGAACATGCAAACTCCACTCAGAAAGACCCTGTTCCGACCAGGATTCGAACCCAGGGCCTTCTTGCTGAGAGGCGAGAGTGCTATCCTCTCAGCCACCGTGCCGCCCATTTAAGCTCCATTATTTACTTCTGTGCTTTACAGATTATCTCGAACCAGGCTGTGATTCTAAGCCTGGATTCGATGGGATGTGCATAACCTTCAGTTCAAGTTCAAGTTTACTTTTTGGCAGAAATATTGGAATAAAGGCGCAGAAAAGATACAAGTGAATCTCCTGTGAGAATGTGGAGAATAGAGAATCTGTCCTGTTCAGACCCGGCTTTGTGTCTGAGAATAAGCAACGTTTCTCTCGTGTTCTCTCTCTCTCGTCAGCCCCTCGTGCCCCATGAAAATATTAGTTTTCTCTTAAGAGACGCTGCCTTGAAGTCTCTGTTCCATTCCACAGACTGTCAGAGCGTCGGGCTGAGGAGGCAGTGCTTTCAGGAGGATGAGAGCCGCAGACACCAGGCCCTGTCACCAAACAACCACACCATAATTAACACTCACAGGAGGCGCTCGACGGAAAGGTCACATTGGATCTTTACCAGCTACGTTTACGTCGGAGATGCTTGGATTGCTCGATAGATAGATGAGTTAGTTAGACAGACAGATAGATAGTCTGCCTGTCTGTGTCTATCTATCTATAGACACAGACAGGCAGACACTCATCCATCCGCAAAAAAAAAAACTATTTCTAAAAGTGACTAACAATAGTAATAACAGAGGTTGTGTAACCGCTGGTGATTAGCTGATTCCTCTGGTTGCTGTCTGCTGAGTCAGCTCGGCTCGGACCTGTGTCTGTGCTCTGGTTCAGAGTGAAATTCCGAATGCTTTATTAGCATCTTTCAGCAGCTTGATCTGTTTGGTTAGGGCCATCCTCTCTGCTCTGGTCAGAAAAGAGAACCTGTATTCGTCCCACAGTGGGGACATCTCCATATATTCTAACTATTTCTGTTATGGTTTAGATTTATATCCTGGTTGTTTTGTAATTTGTCAACCCCTGTATCTTCTTCAGCTGTACTTCCTGTCGTCTCATGTGTCTCACCAGTGTCTCATAAGTCTCACCAGTGTCTCATTAGTCTCACCAGGGTCTCATTAGTCTCACCAGTGTCTCGTTAGTCTCATGGGTCTCATTAGTCTCATGGGTCTCACCAGGGTCTCAGTAGTCTCATTAGTCTCATGGGTCTCATTAGTCTCATGTGTCTCATTAGTCTCATGGGTCTTATTAGTCTCACTAGTCTCACCAGGGTCTCATTAGTCTCATGGGTCTCACCAGGGTCTCAGTAGTCTCATTAGTCTCATGGGTCTCATTAGTCTCACCAGGGTCTCATTAGTCTCATGGGTCTCGTTAGTCTTGTATTGAAACCCTGTGTGGTCCTTCTCTCCCTGCTCCGTCTTTTTCATTCCACGTCTGTTTTACTTCTTTGCTTCAATCTCTGTTTAGTGACTTTTTGGGACATTTTCTCTGGATTTTGTTTTGTATCACACTTTATTAAATCCATTATTTCTGCAATTCTCCATTTTGGCTTCTTCTCTTGTCACCACATGACAATTTGAGCCAAAAAACAATCACAAATCCAAACACAGCATCGCTAATGGCACAGAAAAGGCTGGTGTCCCCCGTTGAGCAGGTGAGGTAATCCAGACTCCCCAGTCCTCCACCACCGAACCAAAAGTTGTTCCAGTTTAAGGAAGCAGCTCTTTCTCCAAGGCCCAGTCGGATCCAACAGATGTCCTGATGGATTAGAGCGAGTTTCTTTTGCCTTGGCAATCACAAAGACATACTCAGTGAAGCAAACAAGATTTGTGGAGCGACGCAGGATAGACATGCACAAACAGCTTTCTGCGGCATTAGCCTCGGCCGCACGACACCTGAGCAGAGCTAGCTAGAAACAACATCACGGAAGAATACAAATGAACAAGACAGGATTATCCCATGTTCCAGCGAGTCCGCCCTGAACACAGGGACTAGTCTGAGAGATTCACCGGACAAAGTCACATTCTGGTCTCTCTATGGTCTCTCTCTGGTCTATCTCTGGTCTATCTCTTGTTTCTCTTTAGTCTCTCTATCTGGTCTCTCTTTGATCTCTCTCTGTTATATCTCTCTGGTCCCTCTCTAGTCCTTCTCTGGTTTCTCGTTTGTCTCTCTCCCTGTTCTCTCTCTCGGGTCTCTCTCCGGTCTCTCTCCGGTCTCTCACTGGTCCCTCTCTAGTCTTCCTCTGGTTTCTCGTTTGTCTCTCTCTCTGGTCTCTCTCTAGTCTCTCTCTCTCTCTGGTCCCTCTCTAGTCCTTCTGATTTCTGGTTTGTCTCTCTCTGGTCTCTCTCCGGTCTCTCTCTTGTCTCTCTCTTGTCTCTCTCTAGTCTCTCTCTTGTCTCTCTCTTGTCTCTCTCTTGTCTCTCTCTGGTCTCTCTCTAGTCTCTCTCTTGTCTCTCTCTTGTCTCTCTCTTGTCTCTCTCTAGTCTCTCTGGTCTCTCTCTGGTCTCTCTCTTGTCTCTCTCTTGTCTCTCTCTTGTCTCTCTCTAGTCTCTCTCTTGTCTCTCTCTTGTCTCTCTCTAGTCTCTCTGGTCTCTCTTGTCTCTCTCTTGTCTCTCTCTAGTCTCTCTGGTCTCTCTCTGGTCTCTCTCTTGTCTCTCTCTTGTCTCTTTCTAGTCTCTCTTGTCTCTCTCTAGTCTATCTCCAGTCTCTCTCTCTAGTCTCTCTCTCTCTTGTCCCTCTCTAGTCTCTCTCTCTGGTCCCTCTCTAGTCCTACTCTGATTTCTCGTTTGTCTCTTTCTTGTCTCTCTCTGGTCTCGGATCGCGTTTTTTTTGGTGTTTCACAGATTTTGCAAACAATGCGATTGGACGAGAGAGAAACAAAATAATCATGGCTCAGCACGTCCCGGGGTTTTGTGTTTATCTGCCAAGAATCAGTGACAAATGACACGGAACAACGAGACCTTTTTGAGAGGAATAGTGACATTTGGAAAGATACGCAAAGCAATATGTATGAGGAAATAAACAAAAACAATACAAGTCTGAGTTTGGAACAAAATAAAACGATCCAACCA